CCCCGCATGTCTGCCAGGCCCCTCCTCAAGCGAAGTCCTTTGCTCTCTGTGCAGCTTAAATTTCAATGGACCCACTCAAGGGGACAAAGTCTTCTCTTTTGTTGAAATCAACTAAATTTCAATTCTGATGCTGGGTCCTCTGGGGCCTGCAAGAAGTCATCCTGAGCCCCACTGGGGCCTGGCGGGCTGGGCAGGGAGGCCAGGGGACCTGGGTACAGGGGGGCCCTAGGGCCTGGGGACTGGGGTGGGGGAGCACTGCGACCTTCCAGCATCCGGGACAAGCAGTGTGGTGGGCACAGCACTCTGACACCTGGCCATGGGTCTTCCCCAAACTTCAGCCCCCACCAACCAACTGATATAGCACTGATGGCAGAGTTAAGTGCCGCTACCAGAGCCTGCCCTGCCCTGCATAGCCCTTCTGCTTGGCTGACTCAGGGTCCACACTGAGCCTCACAGCCCGACATGAGCCTAGGGTGATCAGCCCAGCCAGGCCCTCTACGCTCGTTCCCACCACCAGTAGTGGGTGCCTGACTGTGTCCTTAGGAAAGGCCTGTCCCAGCCCAGGAGGAGCGCCCCTCAGCAAGGTATAATGGTGACAATGGAAAAGAAGCCAAACTCTGTATAATAATTTAAAGAGGTTCATTTTGAGCCAAATTTGAGGACCACAGCTGGGAGCCACGCCCAAGGAGCCTTGAGCAAGTGGACTACTTGTGGCCGGGTTACAGTTTGGTTTTATACATTTCAGGGAGACACGGATTACAGTTCAAGTCATAAATCAATACATGGAGGCATACATCTCAAAGTGGGGGTTTTCAGGTTTCAGGTGGGTTTACAGACTCTTTGGTTTGTAATTGAGGGAGTCTATTCAGTCAGCAGGGGGAGCTTAAGAGTTTGGCTTCTTTTCCGTTGTCAAGGGAAACGCAGCAAGGCCTGTCCGTCCAGGTTCTGCCCGCCTCCGGGTCTGGGGCGGACCCTCCGGAAAGGGGTCGCACGACTGAAGTCAGACAAGGCAGGTCGGAGAGAGGCGCGAAGGTTACAGTATTTCCAGGTTTACCGGCGGCCCGGGGCCGGCTGAGGAGGGCAGAAGGCCTGGGAGAGAACTGCTTCCGGGCCTTCACGGCGGCGGGTCGCTGAGCCCCAACCCCAGGCCGCTCGTGGGCTACAGCCGAGGGGGGCGGGACGAGACACCGGCCCAAAGGCGAGGAGGGTTCACGACCTGCGGGAAGGGCCTGGGCAGCGGGGCCGGCGAGGCAAACCGGGAGAGGCCAGCATGGGGGCGGGGCCTGGCGAGGGCAGGTGGGGCGCGCGGAGAAGCTGAGCCGCAGCGGGCGGAGACGCGCACGCGGCGGCCGGGGCGCGGCCACGTGGGAGGGGGCGGGCCGACTGGGGTGTGTCGCCAGTTCAGCCTCCCGCAATGGCGTCTCTCTGGCTCTGATTGGCCAGACATCCCACGTGGCCTTCTCAGAGCCAATCGCGGCGGCCTCCTCTGGCACGCGGTGATTGGCTCCGCCGGGCTGCACGGCAGAGGACGGAACTGGGGGGGCGGGCGTTGTTCCGCGCTGCCTGGCCTGAGCGCAGGGGTCTTCCTGCCCTGAGGCCCCTGCCATCCTCGGGGCGACGTAGGTGGGGCTGCGTCGGGCTGGGTACAAGCATCCGTCCCGGCTCCTGGGTCGGGGCACCACCCTCTCACCCACACCGTCCCAGCTTTCAGACCTGACAGCGAACCCGCTGACCACAGGAGTGGGGCCGTTTCCACGTTGTGCGGGCAGGTGGCCCAGACCCGGAGTTCACTGGCCCCCGCTGACTTCGTGGTGGACAGCAGCATTTGCCTAGCTGCGCATTAGCACAGCTAGGCAAAATGGTCCTTAGTTGCTGGACCTTTAAAAATCTCTCCTGAGAGCCCGGATGGTTAAGTGGCTCAGCAGGTGCAGGTCACTGGAGAGGAGGGTAGAAAAGAAATCAAAGCAGAGCCTGGCCGGCCCATGTGGGGCTGGCTGCCTGCAGGGCCCAGGGAGAGGCGGCAATCAGAGCCAGGAGACTGAGGGACCTCCCTGCCTGGGCAGTGTGGGATGTCTCTGGAGCATCCGGAGCTGGAAAGCATGCTCTACTTTGTTCAAATACAGTTAAAGTTCCAGAAAGTAAGGAGACTCAGCGAAGAGGGTGGTCCTCAAGCAAGCACCTGTGGCAAGGCCACATCAGATGGACTTTGTCACCACTCTGCAATGTGCAGGGCAGCTTTGCCTCCCAGAACTTGCATGGCTGTTTCTCTCTGCCTGGAATCTCTACCACCAGACACCCACAGGGCTTCCACCTCCCTTCAGGGCTCTGCTAGTCACCCTCACAGAGGGGCCCCCTGACCATTCATGAAATAGTAACCCCTCACCATCCCTCTCTCATCAATTTTCCTGCAAAGCAGAAATCACCATGTAACTTATATGTTTATTATCTGTTTCCCATCACTAGAAAAATCAGTTCCAGGGTAGGGACCTCAATTATCCTCGGTGCCTAGAACAGAGTGCCGTGTGTGTGTGTGTGGGTGTGTGTGTGTGTGTGTGTGTGTGTATGTATAGTAGGGGCTCAGTAAACATCAAGTGAATGGTATGTCTCTTTGGAGGCCTCACACCCCATCACCTGAGGGTGAGGGATGGGTCCAGGGTGGGCTCAGGTCTGCCCCATCAGTTGCTGGAGGAAGGGCTGGCCAAGTTTCTGAGGAAAGGCTGTCTGGGTCATGACCTAGCACTGCCAGGTTCCCCCTCAGGGCTGACAGGGATCCAGAGGGCTATGTGGTTGGGGTGGTGGGTGGGGGAAGAATGAAGGCTGAGCAGTGGGTGGACTTTGGGGAGCCCTTCTAAGAGCAGCCATGCTAGGGGCAGCATGCAGCGGCCAAAACTGCACAAATGGCTGCAAAGACTGAGTTGCAGCTCCAAGTGTGAACTAAAATAAAATCTTGGCTGGACACCGTGGCTCACGCCTGTAATCCTAGCACTCTGGGAGTCCAAGGCAGGAGGATTGCTTGAGGCCAAGAGTTTGAGACCAGCCTGAGCAACATATTGAGACCCCCGTCTCTATAAAAAATAGAAAAATTAGCCAAGTATGATGGCGCATGCCTGTAGTCCCAGCTACTCGGGATGCTGAGGCAGGAGGCTTGCTTGAGCCCAGGGGTTTAAGGTTGCAGTGAGCTATGCACTCTAGCCTCAGTGACAGAATAAAAGAATAAAATCTTAAGCCCCACAGCTGACTGAATTGACCCCCCTCTTGGCCAAGAGGATCCCAGAAAACCCTAAAGTTGAGTCACTGGCCATGAGAAGGGAGGTCAGATACACCTGGTCATGCCTCTTCCTTCTTGGCAAGGTCCTCTGTAACTCATTAACAGGCCTAAGGCTATGCAGGACAAAGCTTAAACCATACTGGCAAGCCTTCAATTTACTCAACAGATCACTTGTGTTTGTGTAAATGTCTGGTGGCTTATCTCTAATTAACAGGCATCCTTAAGTTATTAATAAAACATTCCAAGCTTTTAGACAAAGTTTTATTTCTTTAACCAATTATAAATCAAAGAATCTTTAAACCCACCTATAATCTTTAATGCCCTGCTTCTAGATGTCACGCCTTTTCAGGCCAAACCAATGTATACCTTCCATGTATTGATTTATAGCTTTCCCTGTAATTTCTGTCTCCCTGAAATGTATAAAATCAAACTGTAACCCAACCACAGTGAGACCACTTGCTTAAGGCTTCTTGCGTGTGGCTCTCCGGCCCATGGTCACACATACTTAGCTCAGAACAAACATCTTTATTTTACAGAGTTTGGGTTCTTTTCCGTTGACAAGGGGAACAGGAGACACTCCTCCATGTCCTTGGGAGACAGCACTCTCCCTGCTGGCCCCACCTGGCGTTCAGGAGGGTTCTGGAGGGCCCCCGCATGCAGGCAGGACACATGTGGCCTTTCCGCCCACTGAGGCCTGGCAGGTTTTGCTGGAAGCTCTGCTGTGCATTCCCAGCCATCAATGTTGGGTCACAGGAGACCCAGATAGGCCACTTCCCCGGAGGGGGCCCTGACAACGATTCTTCACTTGGTCAAACTGTAGTCAGGCTTTTGAATCTTCTGCTAGGTCCATTTGTGTACTTCCTTGTAAAATCCAGTTTTAGCAAAGAGCCCTGCTTAGTTAGTTTAATAAGAACTGCCCCTATCCTGGGTATCTGATCACCTTCCATATCTGACCAGGTGACATCTGGGACTCTGGCCCGTCTTAAGCTAGAACCTCCCTGACCCTGAAGTGTCCTCTTAGTAATTTTCCAACCCGACACCCACCCTGCTCCTGGGCTACACGTTCGCACTTGCCCATTCTGTTGGGAGTTGAGCCCAATCTCTCCCCCACACTGTAAGACCCCACAGCACCTAGGGGTGTGGCTGAGCATCTTGGGTCGACTGGAGTGGGAAGGACATGGAGGACCCCCAGAAGGGAGGCAGAGGGCTGTCCTCTGGGCTGGGGTCAGAATGGGAGGTCCGGTCCCAGGCCAGGAAGCCAGCAAGTCCAACCAGCAGCTCCTCTGGCCTCAGCCTAGATGGGCAGCATTCCCTGCAGGGTGTGGAACACAGCTGCAGTGGGGGCACAGGAGGATGGCCCCCAGGATAAGAATGCCTGGGGACACCTGAGCTAGGGCAGCAGTGTGAAATGGGCTGGGTCCCCAGGGCCTGGTAGAGTTGGGGGGATGGAAAGGCTAAAACTGGGGTCTGGGGGCAGGGGTAGGGGCCTGGAGCCCTGAAGGGGCAGGTCTGCATTTAAATGGAGACTACTCAGGCTAGGGATGCCTGGGGAGAATGGGTGAGAGGGGAGAACCTGGGTCAGGAGAGGGGAGAGAGCCTGGGGGGTTCCAGTGAGAGGGCAAGGTGCTTCCTGCCAGGCAGGGCAGGCCGTTCCACCCGCAGGCGGGCAGGGCGCACATCTCTGAGGGCCACCCTGGCAGAACGGAACTGCGGATGGAATAGCCACGCGGTGTGAAATCACTGTAGTGTTTATTGGCTGTGATTCCATCCAGAGAGAACACACGCGAGGGCCCCCGACATGCAGGAGGGCGCAGGGACGGACGGACAGACAACATCCACGGTCTAGCTAAGCTCGGCGGCCCCGGGCGCCCCAAGGCTGGGAACGGGATGGCGGTTTCTGCGAGAGGACGCCCTGTCTGCGAGCTGGCTTTTTAAAGTGTGAAAACAGGCATTTAAAAAAGACGCGGACCCGGAGGAGTGGGAGCGGGCGCAGGGCGAGCGGGCGCAGGGCGGGCGTCGGTGGTCAGTATTGCAGTCTGGTGTTATGGCTTCTCTACAGCTATGTAAGGTTGTGAGGGTCGATGCCGAGCCGCGCCCCTGGCCCGCAACGCGCGGACACTGAGTGCGGTTTCCATGTGGACAGAAAGGGCCGGGAACCAGGCGGGGGCCTTTCCGTCAGGACAAAACTCATCAAAAACAGAAGACCTCATTTACCTGAGATTCAACATATTGTGATGCAAATTAACACGGACAGAGGAGGAGGGCGCGAGGGGTGGGGGCGCTCGCGGGCTTCTGCGGGACTCTGCGCCGGGACACTCGGGGGCCAGCCGAGGGCCTGCGAGCCTCAGACACCAAAGAGCCTGCGGGGAGGGCGCGGGGCGGCCCGGGCGGGCCCCGAGCCCCGCAGGCCTCCAGACCACCGCACGCACCCCGAGGGCCCTGGTTTCTCAGGCCTCTCCAGCTCCTGCCGAAAGCGTGGGCGCTCAGAGGTGAGGGCAGCCTCCCCGGTGGGGAAGAGGGGACCTCTCCGCCCGTCCCGGACGCCCCCTGAGCTCCCCAGCCCCACGCTCTGCCCCTGGTCCAGAGAACGCGGCTCCGGCGTCCTAAGAAGCAACACCTTCCAGAGGAGTGAGGGGAGGAGGCAGAGGTGGACCAAGAGTGTGAGGGGTGCCGATGGAGGTGGGCCGTGAGGACCGGAAGACGCCGAGAAGCTCCATCAGCAACCGGGGTGCCAGCGCGGAGGAGGGTGACGACAAGCTGACGGGGCCGGGCACGGGACAGAGGGTGGGGGTGCGGGGTGCGGGGCGGGCACGGGACAGAGGGTGGGGGCGGGGGGCCGGGCTCCCGCTGCGCGCCGCAGCCCACCCCCCGCCCCTATGGCTGTGCTCCTAAGTTGGGCCGGCCCACTGGGCGCCCGACGCGGGGCGGCTCCGGGCGCGCGGGCGGTGAACGGTCAGAGCAGTAAGGGGCGTCCCAGGCGTGGGGGCCCCAAGCCCCGCGGGCAGAGGAGCACTGGGCCGATCCCGGGCCGCGGCGGCTGCAGGGGTCCGGGGGTCGGGCGCCCCGGGCCGGTGGGGGGTGGTGGTGCTGGAGAAGTGGGCGGAGGCTCCCGAGGCGTGGGGGGCGCGGGAAGGACAGACCTAGGGCTATGGCTTATATCGGCGTGGGGGCTGCAATGGGCTCCCGACATCCCTTCGGGGTCTCCGCGGAGGGTCTCAGGGGGCGGGCGGGCGGGGACGGGGGCTCCGGGGTCCCGCGGCTGCGGCGCCGCGCGTTACTTCTTGAATATGTCCTGCAGCGGCCCGGGCAGGTACTTGATCACCGTGTCCAGGATGCTCTCATCCTCCTCCTCCGGCTCGTCCCCGCAGCCCGGGGGGATGGCCTTCTTGGGCCGCGTCAGGCTGCCCTCCGCGTTGGCCTCCATGGCGGCCTGGGCCTCCGCCTCGCGCTCCTCCTTCTTCTTGATGCCGTACTGCGGGGAGAGGGCGGGGTGGGGGCGCGCACTCCCCAGGGCTCCGGAGAGGCACCGCCAGCCCGAGAGGCGCGACGGCACCGACGGCCCCCAGGAATCCGGCCCCCAGGAATCGGGAAGAAGGGACCCCACCCTGGAGAGGGCCTGGGGGGTGTGAGACCCCACGGAGAATGGGGGGGCGTGTGAGAGCCCACTGACCGTGCGTCTTGATGGGGGAAAGTGGGAGGGGGGGCTCGCATCTTCCTGGGGGTAGTCAGTGCTGCGACCCCACCCTGGGCTCCCCCTGCCCCTGGCTGTGGTCCTGCCTTCCAGGACGCCTGTCCCTGGGGCAAGAAGGGGCATTGATGGCAAGAGCCCAGATGTTGGTGGCAGACTCTCCTGCCCAGCTCCCTGGTTCCTGGCCCATGGTCCCTGGATGCCGCCCTGCCCCAGTCCCTGGCAGGCTACGCTGCAACTCCAGGGGTGGGGAATCTGCAGCCTCACGGCCACATGTGGCCATCCAGATCCCCTAGTGTAGCCCCTTGACCAAATCCAAACTTAACAGAGATGGACTTTGGGACCTTCTCGGGATTTGTTCTGTAAAATTTGGATTTCGTCAAAAGGCCACATTCAAGGATCCAGAAGGCCACATGTAGCCCCAAGGCCACAGGCTCCCTAGATCTTCCTGGATGTTAATTAAGATAAGGATGGAGATGAGGTCATCCTGGATTTGAAGGGCCTCAATCCAGGAGAGCGTCCTTGTCTGAAACAGAAAGGGACACCCAGACACAGAAGAGAAGGTGGTGTGGAAATGGATTAGACTAGAGTGGTGTCACGCCCTCCCTTTTGGAGTTACTCTTTGTAATAGTACCATGAACAGGGCCTAAGTCCAAGCGAGAGAAAGGGCACATCTGCAGGTTCTCAGTTTACTTAACAGATCACTTGAGTCCCAGTAAATGCCCAGTGGCTTGTCTCTGATTATCTTAAAACAATGGGAGCCTTTGGACAAAGCTTCATTTCTTTAACCAATTACAAATCAAAGAATCTTTAAGCCCATCTATAACCTGTTAGTCCCCTCCCCTTTAATATGTCCTGCCTTTTGGGACCAAACCAACATACAACTTCCATGTATTGATTTATTCTTGTCTCTGTGAATGTGTAAAACCAATCTGTAATGTGGCCGCCTGGGACACAGGACCTCTTGAGGCCATTTGGTCTGGTCAGTTGGTCACACACATTCAGCTCAAAATAAATCTCTTTAGATTATTTTAGAGTTTAATTTTTTTTCTGCTAACAAACAACCTGCTGCCTTGGGGCTGGTGGGAACAGGGTGGGGCTGGGCTGGGGGCTGGTGCATCTAGGGGTAGAGGGCCCCCCCCCACCCGGTCCAAGGTTCTGGGCTGCAGATTTAGGGTGGCAGCAGAGGTGGGGCACTGGCAGGGGCATTGAGTGGGGAGCATCTAGGAGAGCATGCCAGCAATGTGTGAGATCAGCAAGGACTTCAAAGTCCTACGGAAGAGCACACCCCTCCCCCGCCCATCCCCCATTTCTGGCTTATTTCTTTTCTCCTCACCAGCCCCTCCCAAGGGAAGGGGTTGGCTCTGCTCCTGCGCCTGGTGCCTAACCTAGGTCTCCAAGGAGACCCCCCTCCAGATGGGAGCTACCTGTTAGCCCCCACCCCTCAGGGTAGCCTCAGCAGCTGTCCCCTGCCCTGGGGCTGTGGTGGCTTCAGGTATGGGGGAGGCAAAGGTACTTTCAGCCACTATGCTCCCAGCCCACCTGTGACCAGAGTGCCTGGGGGCACTGGCAAGAGGCCATTCATGGGCTTGCCTCAGTGCCCTCTGCACGGGGAAGGGGGGAGATGGCAGGAACATCTGGGCAGGGGTGGGCATGTCACCCAGAGGGCCCTGTTAGCACAGAGCCAGAGCACTCACACATCAGCAGGAAGAGAGGACCAGGCACCCCCTGGGCACTGTCCCCAGGGGGTGCCCCACCAGCAAGAAGAGCCAGGTCCTTGTCCTGGGCCATGATGATGGTGTCCCTCCTGGGACAGCCTCACTGGGACAGGCAGCAGCCCCAGGCATGGAAGGGGAGGGAGGAGCATGTACTCTGTGTCCTGTGGGCGGTGCATGGGCTGGTGAGAGAGATGCCACCAGGAAATGGGGCAGGCCAGAGAAAGCTTCCTCCAGCCAGCACGGGATCTACAGCGGGAGGACATCTGTCCACACGGCAGCAACACGTGTGCTGTGGTGAGGACTGCGGGCCTGACCCAGGAGGCCGTGCTCCCGAGGTGTACACTCACAGCAGAGGTGCTCAGGAACGTGCTTGTCACTGCAAGAGCATGCGGTGTGTGGTTGAGCAAAGAGACCTCCTTGACTGGGGAAGCGGCCTCAGGAAGGTGAGGGTCTAGCAAGAGACCTCAGGCCCTGCCACCGATTCATGGGTCCTTCTGAGCTTGGCCAGAAGTGCCAGTCACTCCTCTGAGGTTCAAGATCATTCTGAGGCTGAGGCTACTCTGGGCTAGACCTGAGGGTTAGGGTTACTCTGTCCGGGGCTCAGGGCTCCTGACCTGGGTGGCTTCCATGTGGTCTGCCTGAGACCTGATTCGGAGGTTCTGAGCTCCAGAGACCAACGGCCCACCGCACCGGGGCAGCTGGCCACCATTTGTTGTGCTGGGCAGCGGCCCTGCAGGAACAATGCCCCAAGACAGGACCACTAGAAACCACACCCTTGGTGCTGGCCACCTGGAGGGGAGCTCAGGGTGGACCTGACATATAGGAGGAGACACTAAATCCTGAAAACACTGTGCTGTTGAGAAAACACAGCAACGGGTGCTAAACAGTACTGAGAACCAATGTGACCAGACAACGAGAACCAATAATGTGACCAGACAACTAGCAGTCAGCTGTCAGCAGCTCATCAACACCTGTTACCAGCGGTGCACACTGGGATCTGGCCTAAAGCAAGCCCAGGATGGGGGTTAGGGGGTGAGCCAGGTGGGGCTCAGACCTGCCAGCTTCTTGCCTGGGCCCCAGACTGAAGGTTCTGGCTCAGCTGCCAAACGAGGGTGGCTGGAAGCACATGCAAATCCGGCGGTGCACACCCAGACAGGCTGGGGGTGCAAACCGCGCACAGGGGCCAGTCTCCCCTTCTGGCCTGGCTGTACCCAGATGGCCTCATGCTGGGAGGCAGGTGCAAGGTGCTCCTCTGGAAACGGTACCCCCCGAGATGAAAAGTCCCAGGCTGTAGGCTGCCTGGGGAGCCTGGCACTCCAGAGGACAGATCACCCAGGCCCAGCCCTTTGGTCCCCATCTGCAGAGAAACCTTGGATAGAGTGACTGGTGTGAACTAAAATAAAATCTTAAGGCTCACCCCCCGCCCACTGGCTGACTGAATGGACCCCTATTGGCCAAAAGAATATCTTAAAACTAAATTGCCTGCCAAGAGGAGGGAGGTCAGACATGCCTCATCATGTCCCCTCCCTTCTTGGGGACATCCTTTTTAACGCACTAACAGGCCTAAGGGTATGCAAGACAAACCTGCAGGTCCTCAATTTACACAACAAATATATATCTTCTCTGATTAACAGACCTCCTTAATCTTAAAACATTCCAAGCCTTTAGAAAAAGCTTCCTGTCTTTAACCAATTACAAGTCAAAGAATATTTAAACCCTTCTGTAACCTGTAAGCCCCCCATTCAAGATGGCCCACCCTTTTAGGCCAATCCAGTGTGTGCCTCCCACATATTGATTTATGACTTTACCTGTAACCCCCGTCTCCCTGAAATGTATAAAACCAAACTATAACCCAGCCACTGTGAGTCCACTTGCTCAAGGCTTCTTGGGCATGGCTCTGGGTCATGGTCCTCAAATTTTGCTCAGAATAAATCTCTTTAAAATTATTTCACAGAGTTTGGTTTCTTCCATTGACACTGGGCCCCCCTGCTCTGACCAGCCCCCAACACACCTTGGGGGCATACACAGTCAGAGAGCTGGAGGAAGCCCGGCCAGCGGGACCACCGGGCACCACACCTGAGGGCAGGGTTTCCACCTGTGGGGAACAGGGAAGGCGGCGGGGTTGGGGTACCACCAGCAAAGGCCTGAGTGGCAGAGGGCCCTGCAGAACTGGTGTGGACATGGGGTCTGGGGTGTCGGGTACAACCGGGCCTTCAATGCAGGGAGGCTGCTACTTCCAGGACCTGTGGGGTGGGTGAGCATCCCAAGAAAGCTGTTCTTATGAACAGGTGTGAGGCCTCAAGTCTTTGTGAGCTCTCACACCCTGCTGGGCCCAGACCAAATCCAGAGAGACAGGCTGGTGCCAGGACAGCAGGGCCCAGCCCCTCCCCCTGTAGGTGTTGGTATTCCTGGGGCTTGGATCCCTTCGGAATCCTGGCGTAACCCCAATAGCTACCCTCCTCATCTGGGCTGCATCCGATTTTTAGAAATAGCTTTCTTTTTGAGACAAGGTCTCACTGTATTGCCCAGGCTAGAATGCAGTGGCGTCATCTCACTGCAACCTCAAACTCCTGGGTTCAAGTGATCCTCCCACCTCAGCCTCCTGTGTAGCTGGGACTACAGGCACATGCCACTGTGCCCAGCTAATTTTTCTATTTTTATTAATAGTAGAGATGGGGTCTCACTTTTGCTCAGGCTGGTCTTGAACTCCTGACCTCAAGCAATCTCACTCCCCCAAGAGTGCTAGGATTACAGGTGTGAGCCACTACACCCAGCCTAGAGAGTCCTATCTTGAGGTTTAACCTTGATATTTCCCTATTTCTCTTCCCCATATCCAGACTGCTAAAGGTTTGTTGAATTTGCTGGGAATATGAATTTCTTCACAATTTCCAGGAAAATAAGAGAAAACAGTAGTGAAGGTGAGTTTCAGGGGCCTTTCTTTGGACTTTCTGGAAGGCTGAGGGCAGGCAGGCAGCAGGTGGGTGCGGCCTCCCGGCCTGGGCAGGATGGAGGTGGGCTGGGCCACCTGGACAGAAGAGCCGGTGGCCTCCAAACCTGCACCCAAGAGCCTCCCACCAGCCTCCAGCTCTGGACCCCCATACAGCAGCTGCGGAGGTGCTGCCCCGAGACCTGTCCTGAACCCACCCGGGGTGCCCTGTGGGCCCACAATCATCTCGCTCTCTGCTCTGGCCCCCTGGTGAGGGTGTCAATCCTCCACCTCCCCCAGGTGTGGCCCATTCCCTGTGAGGGGCCAAGTGCCACATGTAGGCCGAGCCACCCAGTGTCTGACCTCTGCTACCCTATCCCCACAGCCCTTGGGACCTGGCCAGGAGCACTCTGTGCCTGCCCCATCCTGATTCTGGGGACCCCACAGAATAAGGTGGGCCTGGGACAGCCCTAAGCCCCTCAGGTGGCCAGGTCTGCCTTCTCACTGTGACACAGACAGGCGGACACACATGGCTTCCCAGCCTAAGCAAGCTCCCAGCCCATGCCTGTCAGTGTCTCCCCTCAGCTCTGCTTGGGGGGCTTGGCTCTCAGCTCGTTCTTTCTCGCTGCTCCCTGTCTCTCTGCCTCTGTTGCTATCTGGGTCTCTGCCTATCTCTGCCTCTCCCTGTCTCTGTCTCTTTGTCTCTCTGTCTCTAGCTCCCTCTGTCTCTCTGTCTCAGTTTCTTTCTCTCCCTATCTCTCTCTCTCCGTATCTCTGTCTCTCCTTATCTCTGTCTTTCTGTCTCTCCCTATCTCTGTCTCTCTCTGCCTCTCCCTGTCTCTGTCCTCTGACCCCCACTCTCCCTTCTGCTCCCGTCCCAGCCCTTGTTCCGGACACCTGCGTCTCTGGGCACAGCCTACATGAAGCCTGGCTGCTCTGCTGTGGTCTGGCCAATGGGGCGTTTTCCCAACTTCCCCACTGCCCTGAGCCTGGGCTCGCACTGAGGCAGGGTGGGGTCTGCTTGGGGAGTGGGGAGGCCGTGAGCTGCTGCCACAGCAGAGTCAGAGGAGCTTTCTGCAGCACCCCCAGGGGATGCATCCAGTGGCCCCTGGCGTGGCGCTGGGGTGCACGGCCCCCATCCTGGGCACTCTACCCTCCGTGGTGCACGGGGGAGAGGTGGGGGGAGGGGCACCGCTACACAGGCCTTTGTAGGCTCAAAGAGCTGGGTGAGCCCCACCTGTGTGGCCCACTGCCCTCCCCAGCACTGCCCTCTGTCCACCCTGGGAGGTCCCCTTGAGGCCCACCAGAGCCAGCCCTCCCTGCTCAGCTGACAAATGGAAACAGCTTCTCTTTCTGCTCAGGGTGCCACCAGCAGCACGGAGGACCCCGGGGTCTGAGCCTTCCCACCCTGCACCCAGGGCACCTCAGCAGTCCAGGTCCAGCGACCCCCTTGGGGACACCACTCCCCCCACCAGACCCGCTGCGGCCCCACCCTCAGAGCCACGCACCAGAACCCCGGCCGCACCTCCATCTGCCCACGGTCCTGCCCTCACCCACCCAAGGTCCTGTCTCCTGCCAGGCCCAGCCAGCTGGCCCACTGAGGGCGCCCATGGACCAGGCCGAAGCAGCTGCCCCGACTGCCTCCCCAGCCTCTACCTGGCCGCTGAAGGACAGATTTGTCACTGTGCTTGGCGCCTGGGCCCGGCTGCAAACTCAGCCTCGCACTGGGCTCTTGCTCCGGGCCTTGGTGTCCTCATCTGACCGGCATGGTGCTCTCTGGCTGCCCCACTCCTGAGGGAAGCGGGCGCTGCCGCGGCCAGCTGGGTGCCCCGGCCTTGTGCATCCCAGGAGGTATGGGCCCCTCCCTGAGGGGTGTCCCCACAAGCCTCAGAAGCGTCTTCTGGCCAGGTGGTTGTGGCCTGGGCGGCCTGGCCCCACCTCTTCCTGCAAGGACTCCCCTTGGAGTCCGAGGCCCAGAGATGCCATGGGGACTGGCCAGCCTGCCATGAGGAGCAGGAAGGCCTCACAGAGCGAACCCCCCCCGGGGAGTCACCCCACTGTCCTGCCTCCCCCACATCTGACCCCCTCCCCAAAGCTCCAAGGGTGTGTTCTGAGACCCTGATAGAAGGCCTTGCCCTCTCCCCGGGGACTCCCTCCACTCCAGGCGGCATCCGGGCCCCACCGAGCCATCTTTCCGGCAGGCGATGCTCCTGCAGTGCCCGGCCCTGGTGCCCACCTTGTCTCGGATGCCCTGCCGCATGACCTCTCGCTCGGCCTCCATCTTGGCATACTTGGCTTTGCGCTCTTCCTCCTCCTGGCGCAGGGCCTCCTGGCGCTCCTCCTCTTTCTTGGCCGCATCTGGGTCCTTCTCCTCGTCACCCCCGAGCATCTTCCCCATGTCCTTGGTGGCCCCTGGGACAGAAAGGCATCAAGTCAGGCAGCCGCGTTCAGACACTGTGTCCAGGGCTGGGCTGGCCTCCCGGCCGCTCCCTGACCCTTCAGCCCCCACCCTGGGCTCTGACTGTCCATCCCCTCAAGGCAAGGGCGCTCCTGTGGGAGGGGTGCAGGTGCAGCTGTGCAGATTTGCAAGAGGTGGGCCGTGTGCTCTGTCTGCATGCATGTGTGGCTGTGTCTATACGCGTGGCTGTGCGCGTTCATGCATGCATGTGTGGCTGTGTTGTGGTGGTGTGTTTATTTGTGTAATGTACTCGTGGCTCTGTGTGTGTGTCTGTGTGAGCTCCTGGGGGGCTGATGTGTGTCTCCTCTGGGTCCTGTGTCCAGCAGAGGCGATGGGAGAAATAGCCGGCCATGCAGATGCATAGTTGGGGAGCAGGGCTGGACACCTGTCCAGGGGGCAAGGCCTCCAGCTCTGACTGCCACGACGAGCGCTGGTGCAGGGGCTGGCAGTGGCTCTGGCCCGGGCTGCAGGTGGCTGCCTGCGCTGGCACTGAGGCCCTAATTTCTCCGTTGTGCAAGCCACCACTTTTCTCATGAGCTCCTGAATCACAGGCCCCACAAACACCTCCCTGAACGCCTTCTGTGACTCGGCCCACAGGACAGAGACATGTAATTACAGCCTCTGAACATGGCAGGCACCATGGTGAGCCCTGGCCCTTCAGTGGCTCCAAGGAGCAGAGCAGCCTCCGCTGCGAGGTGGCCCAGCAGGTCAGCCAGTCTCAGCCACGAGCGGCCAGTCCCAGCGCTGCTGGGTGTCAGGGGCTGGCTGGTCTGGGGCCCCCCAACTTGTGTTCACAAACCACAGCCAGCAGGAACAAAGCCAGTCATCCCTGTCACCTCTGCACGGGTGGACTGGGACCAGCCTCATTTGTGAGGGGACTGCAGCCACAGGGCTGCCCCATGTCAGCCACTCTTTTCCCAGGAGGGCAGACAGGGACCAGCACCTGCCATCCCCCTCCCCAGCCTCAGAGCTCTGGCCTTGAAGTCAGACCTCCTGAGGACTGCCCCTGGATGGGCAGGAATGTGTCTGAGTGGCCAGGGCTGGCACCCCCTTGCCCCTGTGGCCCGATGTGACCCCCAGCCCCTCTCTCTGACTGCAGCAAGTCTGTGCTCTGGTTCTACATTGTTATGTCCCTGGCGATCCTGATACCGCCCTCCCGTCTGGTACCGAAAGGTCCTTGGGATATGGAACCTAGGAGGTGCCCTTTCCTGCAGATATCTGTGCCACGTGCTGCCTCTGCTGCCCTCTCAGAGTGACCGCTGTCTCCTGCAGGCAGAGGGAAGGCCATCAGCTGTTGGCGAGAACAGCTTTTTGGTTGTATGTTCTGGACTGAAAACTGCGTGCCCTCAGGCTGGGCCACACCTACAACACGTCAGCCTCCCCACCCCGATAATTCTGGCTGTCCAAAACTTTAACATAGGTGGTGGGGCGTGGCGGACCAATGCCATCTTGTTGCCCTTGTCACTGTGGGGACAGAGAGCCGGCCTATGCCAGGTACTTGGCCAATGGCACGGATCTGGACTCTAATAGAAAACTAAGGGCCTTGCGGTCAGCTTTCAGTCTCATCTGCAAAATTTGCAAAGCAGATTTTATGCCAATAACTCAAGGGAAACTGGGTCATAAAGTAGAATTGCTTCTAGATTCCAACAGTTCCCCCAGATAATCAGACCGGACTCTCTGTCTCCGTGCTGCATCTCTGGCACGTGTGTGGGGAGGCAAGGACAAAACCCCTCGACAGCACTGCTCCTGTGCAAGTCTTACCCCGCTGGGACAAGCTCATTCACACCAAAGTGAGAGCGACCCCACAGCTCCTTCTCCCTCCTGGAAAGTACTGGCCTCTTAAAGCGGACGTGGGTGGACCTGGTCTCCCAGCCTCACCTCGCTCCTGGGAGGAAAGGTTCGAGGTAGGGCTGGAGGGGCTGTCTGCCTCAGTGGGCCAGTCCCCAGCCTGCCCCTCCAGGGGCGCACAGGCCTAGGACTGAAGCAGGCACTTACTGGGCACCGGCTGTGTCGAGCGGTGAGCCCTGCTGCAGAGTGCCTGCTGGGGGCTTGCCCTGGGCCCTGCCCTGAGTGTCAGTGCCCCCACTCGAGCCCCGGCCTGGTCCACTTGGCCAAAGGGGCCTCGGGAAGGACCCCTTTTAAAGAGGAGCTAGCCCTGATGTCAGGGACAGCTCCAGGAGGCTGGGTGACCTCCCCAGCCAGGGGAGCCAACTGCAAAGCCACTATGTGTCAGAGGGGACCTGCTCTGGGGGTGCCTACAGCATGACCTCGAGAGTCCCACAGCAGCACCCAAGCGCCTCCCATTACTGCACAAACTGCTTCCACAACTGCTGCCAAAAGCTGGGAATTAGGCGCCACCAGGACGGCAGCAGAAACTGCAGGCAGTTTGTTCCTGGCACGGAATCCCAATGTGCCATTTGCTCTCCTGGCACCAATACAGCAGTAGAGGCTGGCGCGGCCCACAGTCCTGAGTGCTGCTGCAGGGTGGGAGTGGGGCCTGGGGTCCTCGACCCCTGCCACCTGCCTGGCACCCCGTACCCCATGGAGGTGAGCCTGGCCCACTCAAGATAGGAGCCTCTGCACCTCCAGTGCGTGGGCTGCGGTTTGTGCAGGTCCTCAGTCCACCCACAGCCCCTGGGAAGGTGCTGGACATCACCCAGTGACGGCACAGGAGCTCCCACAGAGGGCTCAGGTTGGCACACCCTGCCAGCCCCGCCCTGGCGCACACCCACCCCAGGTCTCTGGCTGCAGGACTCGGGGTGGAATACGAGGCAGGGCACAGCCCAGGCCTCCCACACCCTTCCCTGTGCCCACTCCGTGAGAAGTGCGGTCGGTGCCCACAAGGCTGGCGACCCTCCAGTGCCCAAGCGGACTTGCAGCAAGGGAAGGTGAGCATGGGCCCCGTACCTCGGGGTGCAGAAATCCAACCACAGCAAGAGGCGGCCCTTGCCAGCGCCTGGCGTTCCTGAGGGGTTGCAGTATGGGGTGCAGGCGAGGCCAGGACGGGCTCAACCGCGCTGGGGGCTACCAGACACACCCTGGACAAACAGGGCCCTTCCCTTGCTGCCCGCATGCCGCCCTCAGAGTTGTCCATCCCCTCTGCCTCCCAGCCCCCACCCCTGGTCTTCCTCCTGCTCGTACCTGGTTCTGGGAAACGTGTGCTGGCAGAGCTGAGGCCTGGGGACAGGGCATGCGCTCGGCCCTCGGTGTCCCCATCTGGGCCTGTGCCCTCGGGAGCCTGTGCACCTGCGTTCTTCCCCAGGGAGCCCGGTTCCCAGAGCTCTGCCGGACTGGCTCCCACACCCCGGTGTCTTCCTGGGCATGTTTTGGGGGACTCCTTATGTACAGTAGCCATCCCTGGTCAAAGCCCTACTCCTGGTATCTGCTTATAGTGTGGGTATGCACTTCCACTGGGTGCATTCGATTTGTTACACATACACATAATTGTGGGGTTTTTTCTTTCCTTTTTTTTTTTTTTTTAGATAAAATCTTACTCAGTTGCCCAGCTTGGAGTGCAATGGTGTCACCATAGCTCACAGCAACCTCAAACTCCTGGCTCAAGTGATCTTCCTGTCTCAGCCTCCTGCTCCCAGAGTGCTAGCATTACAGGTGTGAGCCACCTGTGCCAGGCTTATATTTCTTTTTAAATAAATATTTTAATAATACATAAGTGAAAGTTGAATCTTTTAAACTTTATTTTGAAATAACTTTAGACTTACAGAAGAGTCACAAAAATCCTATACAGGGCCGGTGCAGAAACGGGATGCAGAGTCAGCCGACACAGCACTCAACAAGGCCAAAGCCTGGACGTCGTGCTCATCCTCACCCTACTGCAACTCCACTTGGAAGCCACCACTTTTCCATGAATGTCTTTTTCTGTTCCAAGATACTAATTTGGGACTACAGGCCAGCAACACGATGCCTGGCTAATTTTTCTATTTAGTAGAAACAGGGTCTCACTCTTGCTCAGAGCACTCCCAAAGTGCTAAGATTACAGGTGTAAGCCACGGTGCCTGGCCTTAAAGTCAGTTTTTAAAAAGTGAATAATATTTTTAAATTTTAAATAAAATCATGTGAGGCCAAGGTGGGAGGATCACTTGAGATCAGGAGTTCAAGACCAGCCTGAGCAAGAATAAGAATTTTAAAATGTAAGCGCTATTTATCATGTGCTCAGCCACAAACAAACCTTAACAAACCCTGTAACTAACATAATAGTCCATGGGGAAATGGAAGCATTTCCCGTAGGCTCAGTAACAATACTCATTCTCATGGCTCCTGTTTCCCTTTCTACCAGAGGACCCAGCGACTGCACTAAGACAAGAAAAACAAAAGGAATGAAGATTGATAAGGAAGAAGTAAAACTGTCTTTATGAACAAACGACAGGATCATCTGTGTGGAAAATCCCAAAGAATCTGCAAAACTATGACTACAACTAATAAGTGAATTTAGCAAGGTTATAAGATATGAAATTAACAAACAGCAAGCAAATGGCTTTTTATATACTAGAAGCAAACAATTGGAAAGTGAAGTTTAAAAAGAATTCTGTTAACAATATTGCCAAAAACATAAAATAATCTATGACAATATTTTTTAAACAACTTACTAACACAACTACAGAATCAGCTGGGCAAGAATTTAAAAATCACCCTAAATATGACAACCAGCCTGAGCAAGAGCAAGACCAAGAGCCTGTCTCTACTATAAATAGAAATTAATTGGCCAACTAATATATATAGAAAAAATTAGCCAGGCATGTGCGCGCATCGCCTTAGTCCCAGCTACTCGGAGGCTGAGGCAGTTAGGATCGCTTGAGCTCAGGAGTTTGAGGCTGCTGTGAGCTAGGCTGACACCACGACACTCACTCTAGCCTGGACAACAAAGCGAGACTCTGTCTCAAAAAAAAAAAAAAAAACCTAAATTAATATATAGAGATATACCACATTCATGAACTCA